TCCCAGGCTAATACAAGAACAAGACCAGAGCTCGAGTAGAGGGCTTTATTCACGTCAGCCACGTTATTCCAAAGTGAAAGTGAAAACGAAACTAATTCAAGTCAGGGTTGACCTTGACATGATAAAAAGCGTAACAAAACAAATGTTAGTAAATTAGTGTAAATAGAATCAGAAACCAATCTTGGGAAATCGTGGATCCCCAAAAGAGCTAATTGTGCATGCCCAACTAGCGTTGTTTACGCGTTGCGAGTCAGCATATATGTATATTTGCCTAACACAACATCGTGTCGAAATCGCAATTTGCGACAACTGTTAGTTGTTTTTAAGTGAGGCGTAGCGTCCACGTCAGCCAACTGGTGCACGTCATCTAGGAAGTATTAGGCAAGAAAAGAGGCATTCTATTGTGTGAAGACACACCTATTGCGTTCAGTCATCGAGTTTCGTCTCACCAAACTCCAAACACTATCCTCTCATGCCAAACTAGCTCCTTATCATCCAAGCAGCATTTGGGTCAATTGAGAATCAGTTTGTCGGTTTGACATTCACTGCTTTAGACAGAGTGATCTACCCCTCGTGTGAATGGCCACGCATATTTTCTTCATAATTCGCATTTAACTAGACAAAAGATTGGAGGGAATATTGCACACAAAAACGCTATTCCAAACTTTCAGCAATTGGCCTATTTACACCCCGACAGGAAGTGAATTATTCCACCAGCTCTCATGCTGACTTCTTCATTTCTGCTGCAATTATAGGCAAACATTTTGCTCCTGCACTTCCGTAGGCGGGGTATTTTTAAATCTTTCAGTTTGTGTGTTAACGGACGTCAAAAGTGGAAGTTTTCCTAACGATTTTACTTTTGTTTAAACTGACGCTTGGCATTAGCAGTGTGTTTAAATTGATTGGTCGAACAACATTCTAGTGACTACGAATGTGCTGATACTGACAACATCGTCGATTTCAAGGTTTAAAAATGTGCATTTTGTTATAGGTATTTTACTAATTTAATTGGTATTTTTATCTGTAAAACATAGACTGTGATTGGTTGACTAATAGTTCCCCGAACACTGGCCAATCACATCACAGAAGAGTGCAGGTTAAGCTTTTATAAAAACCCATTAATATTTATCTAGGAAAAACAGCAATGACGGTTACTAATTTCCTTCGGATAACCAAGTTTCCCTTCCAGAAATGAGTTGGCAGGCAACTTGGAAAATTCCTCCATTCTAACTTACTTCCTTAACAGGTCAAAGTTTGCAAATAATGCCACGTGAATCGCAACAGAAGCGAGAGTTTTCGCCCTAATGTCATGTACGGCATTTCGTGTACATAAGACTCTCATGGTAATTGCAAGTGACAGCACATGGTTGTTTGTTTTGCTTCAGTTTTTCTTAGCGGAAACAAATTCCCGTCGGCAGTTGGCCCTCACATCGCGTCAAACCGAGCCACTCAAGCTTAGTATTGGCACGAAATTGCAGCAATTGTGACGTTTAGAAAGACGCTATTGGCGCTTATAATCTCCACAACTTAGGTCTTAGTTTGAGAAGCCATACTCCATGAAATGTTGGACGCGGCAGGTCTAGGATTCAAGCCTCCTTCTGCAAATAATGCGAAAAAATTGCCTTTTACATGCAAGGCCTCTACTCGAACTTGGGTATTCACAAACACCAGACCTCTTGTGGTTCCACCATGTGGACGTTCCAGTGGTAAAGTGGCCAAGAATTACGAGGTTCTGATGCCTCTCCCTCAGGATCATCACATGCTCAACCAACCAGCGCCGAGTTTAAGTGCAAAAGCAGGCCTCAATCCCTTTAACGACCAATGACATGCTGGCAAATTGTCTACATTTCCGCTCAACTGTCTTTACATTTACATTTCTTCCACGTGATCGGAGACATGCGATTTGAATAAGCTGAGTTGGGTCATATTTACAGACCTCGAGATCATTTTAATGTTCCCATAGTGACGCAGTAGACATTTTGGCAAGCATAAAAATGTTGACAGCTACTGTAGGCCCACTTCTGAGTAAATAGGCTCTATTTTGGTCAAATTATGAATCAGGCAATCGCTTTCCAGCTAAGCTTCATTAATTTTGAACAAGAATCCACCTCAAATAGGGGCTTTGGATTATCATAGTAGTAAACGTTTCCTTCAGAACTGGCAAGTTTGAACTATTTTTCTTCAATGGCGTTCTCTTATTTCATAGCTAAGCAACGCTTAACATTGCTTGGTTCAATGGTAACAGCCCATAGCACATGATACCCATGCAATCCAGCCACATTGCTAGCTTGAACACTTTAGCCGAAAGCGTTATCATGATCATTTCAACAACACTAGCAAATCGTTTTATAAAAAGCCGATTTCATCGGCTGCAGGGTTTCACGTATTACATGTGTCGAATTTCTGCCGAAACCCAGTAGTAATATTATGATTTTGTGCTGATTTGTGTGGTTCAACACTTAACAACTCTGCAGGCTATGGTGGTGTTCTATAATGAGCCAATTAAATTTTGACCTTGGTTTGGTCATCATTATCATCGTTTTAGAATGAAAAGTTCTCAGAAGGAATGTTCGGAAACAGCCAATTGTGACGCGAGCGTCGTGTTTAACTATCAACATGGTAACCACTGCCTATCTCGTTGTAATATTGGTGGAAATTCTAAGGCAAACTTTTTCGAAAATACCCATTTTCACACCACACTAAAATGCGCAATTTGCTGATAAAGTCAGCTGAAGGTGGTATCTTTTGAATGCCAAATTGGAAAATTCATGAGGTAGACAGAAGTCGAGCACTACAACCACAATGTTGTCTACTTGTGCGAGTAGGCATGGCTAACTTGCTTACCGACAGACGTGTAGACACCAGAATTTATGTAATTTGCCGCAGACAGTGGCAACCGCGCCGCAGCGACTTTGCGTTGCACACACCGTGGATGAGTCACGAAATCCCAGGCCGTATTCCGAACCACCAGTCGTTATTCCAGAATCCGCAGATCTGGTTGTTTATCAGTGGCCCTAACCGCCCGGGTCCAGAATCGCAATGGGACGTTTAAGGAACAATAAAAAGTAATGGAGATCAGTTGGGTTCAGACGTTTAGAAAACGGTTTTGTCTGCATCGTTTGTGTCTTCACGTCAGTGAGTAAGCAAGGCAGTAATGTCGACCAGCACAAGTAGGTCGCGTTGTATTTGTCGTGGGTGACTTCCGTCAACTTAGTGATTGCCTCGACTTAACACACAAAAGATGTCAAATTGAGCATATTACTAATTCTAGTTGCTAGATTACTTGAGCTTGATATTAGTGTGGAATGAAAAATGCATATTTTCGAATCATTTTACCTTCAAAATTAACCATACTAAAGAAAGTTGGAGAATTTTTCAATTAGAAAGACGGCGGTAGCCATGTTGATCGTTTACCACAAAGCTCAATTTGAATAAAACTTTATAGCATCAATACCCGCAGCCACTTTATTGCTCCTGATCCCCCAAAAAAGTCCTGCGTTGCCTTTCGTGTCAAATATTTCCACTGACCCAGACCCACTCCTGGGCCATTCCTTCTTCAAAGTCATCGATGGACGAAACGGAAGGCGTCAAGAAGCACATTTTGCATCCAACTAGAAATTTGCATTGATTTTTTTAGAAACCTAGTTACATATGCATTTCGAGTCAATTTTAAGATTAGAATTCTTCTCGTTTTTCAATTCGAAAAAGTTTTGATGAAAAATGTACCATTGCTCTTAAACATCTAGTTATAGCAGGGGGGAAATTGTACAGATTCTGTGGAGAAAAAAAAACAAGTCTTTTGGATTCTTTAAACCTTCATGTCCTGGATTTTAACGAAGGACAGAGGCAAGTTAGACTAGCGTTCGTGATGACATGCAAGCTCTCCACCGATTTCTCTTCAAATAGTATTTTACATTTTAGGTATTTTTGAAACACCATAGAAAAGGCAAAAGGCTAGCACATCATTTCGGACTCTGCGTCGTAAAAGTGTTTAAAGCCACGACGCTGAGTGCATTAGATAATTATTTGCTTTCCACGAGTTCTTACACCATTTTCGCGCCAATAAAATTTGCAGAGAACTAAAACAAAACAGGTATTTTGGGTTGTCATAGCACCACACCGATTACGGGTAGTTTCCTAAGAAGTTGAACCGTAAACGGACAATTTTTTTCCTACAAACGAGTTAAATTGTATGCTGTGACCTTACTGTCAATAAAAGGACGAAGCTATATAAAGAAACCCATTTGTGAATGATGCACTGGTAATTTGCGTTTTGGTTGTGCGTAGACTGGGAGCGTTAATCAAAATTCCCCACTCTCGTGGCCATGGTGACGAACGCTCACCGCGAAAACCAATCAATAATGACTGCACAAACGTAAAGGTCGCGCATTCCATTGGCCCATTTGGGTGTCTGTTTATGCAACGCTGACGACATTTGAGATGGTCATTCCGGGCTGCAACTTTAAAGTCCTTCTACTGCGAATCGATAATTTTGCCGATTAAAAGATTTGGATGCACTCACACGTATTCTCCGTTATTTCAGGCTGTTTAACATGCCAACTTTTGGAGGGTTAAGAAGTTCAAGTCTAGTGGAGGTCACCATGACAACGGTGGCGGAAGGAGTGGCTTTCCAGCGATGCACTCCGCAACGATAATTGCTAAGTGCAGTGCACTTGTCACGTCACACCCATCCATCTCAGCTGTGTTATTCACAAAATCTTGGTGATAAGCCTTTTTTTAAACAATGCCCTTGCGTGGTATTTTTTAGTTTTAAGTGGAGCGTGGTTTTCCCGCAAAAAAGCACAGGCCACTTTCAGTGCTGACTAACCAACACCGTTCCATGAACAAACGGACCAACCAAAATTTGTCTGTTACTTGCGCCTGCACACCATGCATTCTTCCATTCTCACTAAACCGCACACTTTAACTACTGCAATTAATGATCCATTATCACCGATTTCCGAAAGCCCTAGACTAGGTTTTTTATACAATATTGGGCGATGGTTTGGTGCGTCGGAAATGCTACTTTTCGCCCATAACGTGTTTCCGCGCACACGCCTTGCAGCCTTCTTCACGAGCTGATTAAACTGCTAGGTGGATCGTTATTCCATCCACTCGATTAAAGGCATTATTCAGCCTCTCTTTATGTCCCACCATTTAAAATACTTTTATGCAGATCTGCAATAAATGTCAACGCACCAGCCAAGCCTAGGGGAGTATTTATGCCACAGTCAACTACCTCGTCTAAAAGCACACTCTGAATCCACTCTGAAAGGAATTTAATGCTGTCTAACACAGACAAGCGCGAGCAACAAAACTGCAGTTACAAGTCGGCGAACAGTCAGTGTGTAATGCAGAGGGGGAAAAGGTGTTTTTTGTTCATCTTTTGCGTCAACTAAGATACGTTCTGTGCCTCCCACTACTAATCTCAGGGGTTCGTAACCGACCCCTTGTCGGTTACAAAACATCCCCGTAATCTGAATACCCCATTTATCATTCCGCGGTAAAGTGATTTAAACAGCTCTGAATGGGGTTCTTGTGGATCTATTATCGAATCTAGTATTTGAAGTCGTGGCTTGGAGCTCCCAAATCGCCATTAATCCACCTGCGTACCTTCTGTTGCAGTGATTTAATTGAGAATCGTGGAGCCGACATCCACGAAGACGACAGCCACGGTCGCCTTCCAATCCACGTTGCCGCGGTCTACGGTCGACCGGCGGTTCTGTCCTACCTCATTGAGGTCTACTCCCACCATCTACGACACTCCTCCATCCCCAAGCTTTTCCTGGATGCCATTGCTGAACTCAACGAGTCCGATGAGGAGAGGGCATCCCTGGCCCACGAGGCACCCCCCACGGCCAGCGACGATCCCTCGAGACTGGCCAAGATCGCTGCCGCTGCAAATTACCTCGACCTCCTCCATCGCACACCCCTTCACTGCGCCAGTTCCGAGGAAGCAGTCAACGACTATCCTCAGTGCATTGCCATTCTTCTGGAAGATGGAGGCGACCCTATGCTCCGAACACCTCAAGGAAAAACTGCGTTAGATCTGGCGTATGAGGCAGGACGGGCAAAAGTCCTGATCGACATCATGCCGACTGAGGTGATGGTGGAGCTACTCATGCGCATCAACGATGTCGTTCCAAGAAGTGTGCGTCAGAAACACACCGAAGAGACGGCCTCCAGCCAACCACGCGTCTCTCCAGCTACTTCACTACATCAGGTCTCCCAACGGCATAGTCTGAATGTTCCGCGCAACTCGTTGATTCGTCGTCTGGCAGGTCCGGAAGCCAAGGAGGAAACCGTCAACAATGTGTCAATTTGGCGAAAAATTCTCCTCAACGACGACGTGGAACTCCTCGAGTCCTGGCGCGATTCTCTGTTCTGGTGCCAAGACGACCCGTGCTACGTGAAAAAGCGCAAAGAGATCCGTGGCAAGGCGTTGCACAGAAGCCTACGCCTCAGCAAACGCTCTCCGATGGACTTCGAGACCTCGCAAGGTCTCACGTCAGGCCAGCGAGCCGAACTGTTCTTCGACTGCTACGAAAACGGCGCAGGTGTCTACTCCTACGTTCAGTCAAACTTTGCCATGAACATCAAGGCGCACGACTTTCTGACGGTGCTGAGATCCCTCACGGGCTTGGTGCTGTTCGAACAGTTGACGGTGGATGGCGTCATTGTCCTCTCACCCCTGCACACGTCTATTCTCTTCCTCGCCCTCATCTGTGGACGCTTTAGGGTAGCGGAGCTACTCCTGCGGATGCGCCAGTTCGATCTCATTCCTGCCTGTGTTCTCGTAGTGCTCATTCTCCACCGACTCTACCAGGAACCCACCTTTCCCGAACAGGTAGGTCATTTTTGAATGCTCACGAGGCCTACTTTTCCGTTTTAAGTAATATTTGTCATCGAAATGAGTTAGAACAACAAGTACCAGTTCAAACTCAAATCCGTCAGTCTCCTAAAATCAACCCACCTACATTGTAAGTTGGGGTCAAGCCTGATGGGCAAAAGCAGATCAGTAATCTATCGAATCGCCTCGGATCAGAAATCGAATTTGGCACAGCGCACAGCCAGTAATTAGTTGTCGGAAGAGCATTCGTGACAAGACATCGATAAAAGAGATTACCAACTCTTAGAAATTCACACAACATAATCGCTACACGATTGGTGCCTAATGCAGCTAATTCGATAGCCAATGGTAAGTTTGCAGCTGACGTTCTGAGGTCATTTCCCAGGACAACAAGAGGGATGCGGGTTTTGTTTATCCATTTGTAACGCTGACGTGAGCTTGATTTACCAGCAGTTGTGGCACAGGTCATGGAAACTGCATGGCAGTCAGCGAGAACTGACTTCCTATTTGATGAAGAATTCAGTCTTTTACACTTCCTGCTGAGCTAGACACAAAGGAACTTCAAAACAATCGACACGTGTATTTAATCTACCCTTTTTTCCAATACCTTCAGGCCAACTATGTGCTCGAAAGGTTGGCGTTTTAGGCTGGTCAAATGAAAAGGATTCCTAGTTGAGTATTTAGCGTTCACTTGATCACGAAGGAGCCCTTGGCAAGTGGCTTCGTTGGTGGCCTTCCAAGCAGAAAATCATTAACACCTAAATTTTTAACTGTGTTAAACGGGCGGAATCACACGTTTTAAGGCGTCACGCTCGACATTTCTTTCGTGAGGGGGTTTGTCGGGCACGGGTAACCTCCCCTTCACTATATTTCCTCAAGCTAACTTGCTGCATTTTCTTTCCTTTCTACAAACCTTCGCCTCAAATCGGGCAAGTTTGGTTCCGTGTTCGTCCAGAGTCGAGCACCACATGCACCCCCAACGACGCACCACTGCTCCGATGTTAGCAAACACGTTCATTGTGTTTAACCAATCACTCAGAACACAAAAATGAGCACTCGTTGCTGGCTGATGCGTTTAGCTGCTTACCACAAACTAAATTTATTGTCCAGGAAGACAATTAGAGACACACTTGCTGGCTCTCATCTAGCGCACTAGTTCACCCAACACGGAAGATGATTGGTTAATTCATTTCCAATTGCGAACTGAACACGGATCGGGTCTTGAGGCCGCGACTTATTTGTCTCGTGATTGGAGGAATGCGCATGGCCTTAATTAAAACAAATAACCGTTCTGATTTATGTCAACAGAGAATATCCATTTAGTAAGGCATCGCGCCTATCGACGACCCACCAATCACCTGTTTGTGTAGAAACGTGATACAATTTGACCTTCGAAGAATCCAACTCTGGAAGCGAATAAACTCGCGTTAGCTCATTTCTGATTAAAACAATCGGAAAATCCCTCTTGAGCCCATCTCACGTTGGGCCAGTTAACTGGTCCCCTCAATTAAATGGGGCCAGTTAATAATAAAAACCGCTTTAATTTGAGGCTTTTAGTCAGGGAACCACAATTAAACAAGAAACAGACTATTGCCGTTAAAAATGGCCTTCCGATTTTCTGGTTAATACATTGTCACTTGATTTTGTTTGAAATTATTAGATTCAATAAATAACAAACTAATTTTGCCTCTATTATCGTGGCAACTTAAGTTGTTTTTTTTAAATCTAACGATAACTTTCCGTTGGGAATTCAGCATCCCACGTTCTACTTGTCAAGATTTTGACGATTCCCTACTCCCATTATCATTTTGTATTTATGCACACCATTTTTGTATTCAACATGACCGCCACCATTTCCATTGGCTAACTCATTAACGTTGACGCGCCATACAAAGCGTTTGATTATTTGCACTCTGGTCACCATAATACTTTCCCCTATTCTGTGTCTTTGTCCTTAAGGTGCAAAATATCAAAGATATTTACTTATTTAATCTTGAAACAAAGATGGTATTTTGCTTTGAAACAAACGCTTAAAACTGCCACACCCACGATATGATATACTACTAGCTTGGTAATAATTGTTTATGCCGATTGGTTGAAACGCCTTGTTGATAACTGATTCGTTGAGCGACCCTGAGTATCTCCCCGAATTGGCCTAGTCACTGCTAGCCCACATCCGATGTCGTTTTGTTCGGAACATTCTCCACTCGCACGTTAGTGCTTCCCTTTCAAAACGGCATGTCCGCCAACTGTTGACACAAGCTAAGCACTCTTTATGGTCCAAATGGCCAGCAGAAAAACACAAATCAACCGGCAAAATGGTAAACACGCCGATAAGCGTCATTTGTTTTAAAGCAGCATAAAAATGGGCAAGTTTGCGATGACGGGAGGTGTTTTGTTTTGTTTTATGATATCGGAAAAAATCTAGCCCATACAAATGGGTTCATATTCAAAAAAGTGCCATTTTCTCAGCCCCTATCGCCACAATTTGATAGTTAATGTGTTAATTTGTTTTCTGGAAAGTTCTGTCATTTAAACAAAAGTGGCGGGTTTTCTGATTTGACCGAGTGCCGTGTGTGATTTCATCTGCACTCCTCACTCCATCTGTCTTCAGTCACTGCCAACATCCACCAGCCTAAATTTGGTTAATTTCTTCGTCAAGTGGACGGTCTGCTTCAACGTCGATGTACTGGGATGCCCGGGCTCTACCCACGACTTCCTGTGCTTACGATTCTCGTAAAAAATATACTTTTTATCATCCGTCACAATTTTCCACAAGAAGTTCATTCGCTGCTTGCTGCCGTCGGGCAAGTAGTAAAAGGCATGTGTCCATACGTTGACCCAACTTCCAAGTTTTTGAATTTTCCCCAAGTAATGCAAACGCTTGCAATTAGCCGTTTCGGTGATTCCTAACTGAGCTGTTGCAAGCTCTTGTTGCGTTTGCGTTGAGTCTTCGTCCAGTTGAACTTGCAATCTCGCATCCGTAAAGTTTCGAGGCCGCTGTCCGGGGCGCGGCTGGTCACCAACATTGAAATCACCCCTTCTGAAACTATTGTACCAATAAATATACGTTCCCGCAGACACAACGTCGGCACCAAGAACACTACAGCTTGATTCCCGTGTCATAGAAGCATTTGTTCCTTGATGGAATTCGCAATAAATGCAGTGCCGTCGAATGTGCTGTTTATCCCTTGCCATCGTAAACTTCACTATTCTGAGGGGTTATTCAACACACGTGGTCTTGTCATTCGGCGTTCTGAGAACTTGCGCCCGATGCTTTCAAAAGCTCAAAAGACCGCGAAAATACTTCGAGCTTAAGATCAAAAGAAGTTCCTGCCTTCCATTATTGCCATACGTTAGATTGATTTTTGGAGAACCATCGCTCCCTTCACAGACCCGAGGGACGGGGAAGAAGTCAGGCGCCATTGTGGCGGTGGCAGCGGTGCTTAGTAGGTCAGGTTTGCGACCCAAATACCGCCCGTTACCGATGCGATCACACGCCAGCAACGCAAATAAGCGCAGAAATCGGCACTAACTGATGGCAACGCTTGTCGCTTCACCCTCTCCCTCACTTTCGTTCCCCCGGTAATTCCAGTCTTTATTGGGTCGATTGCCGTCCCCTCTCCTACACAAGGTATGCGGTTTTTCATCGTAAATGCGCGGTTTTTTCCCGCACCTCTCGGATATCGTAAAAGGAACACAGGAGATCCCCACCGAATGTAAATGGCGTGCTTGAATTCGGTAGGGATCTACTGCCAAGAAACTCAGTAGTACAGTAGTGTCACTAGACCGTCGTTATTAGTACCACTCTGGCTAGACGCTCCGGGTACATGAACAGGCTACAGAGATCCTGCCAAAGATTTTAAGCCATCCACCGAAAATAAGTGGCGATTGGCGGCCAACTCCCAGAGTTATAGGTTTTTTTTGTTTTAATTACCTGACTCCGTCTTAGTTAACACATAGTCCGGCTCCATGCCTCAACGATCACGACTTAATTGGTACAGAGTTTCAGTAAATTTGTTTAATTATACAAAATGGGGAACATCGAACTTAATCTTGTAAATATTGTCCGTCGTCTTCTACGACATTGCGCCATCTCTCAGGTAACGCACGAATACCGTCGCAGAAGAAACTTGCCGACTTCGAGACAATGAAGTCATCATGGACGAATTTACACACATCGTCCAACTTCTTGAACTGTTCATCCGCTAAGGCGTGCTGCTGCTGCTGCATTGACCAGAGCAAATGGTTGTAGGATGGGTCCAGGCCTGGTGAATAAGTCGCGTGTGAGTGAACTCCTCATCCCAAGGTCAAGGGGGTGTTCTGAGTGGCGCGGGCAACGTGAGAGGTGGTCGAGCGTTGTCATGCGGCATCGGCAGTATGACTTGCCTCCTTCCTTGTCCACGAAATTGCCCTTTCTGATCAAGTTCTTCAGCAAGCCGTGAAATTGATGTGTTCTTGCGTTGACCAAAATTGTGTTCGATCAGCACATGTGGGACCAAACTTTCAAGTTATTCCGTTTTCTCATTTGGTGTAAACCCTTAGAAAAAGCGCCATCTCTCAACTAACGCTCGAATGCCGTTGCAAAAGAACCTACCAGGCTTCGAGGCAATGAAGTCATCATCGACGAATTCACGCACATCGTCCAGTGTTTTACACTGGTCATTCACTAAGATGTGGTGCACTGACGGGAATAAATGATAGTAGGATGGGACCACATATGGTGAATATGCCGCGTGTGGGAGAACTACCCATCCCACATTGAAGAGAGACTTCTTCTTGCCTGCTTCCTTGTCAGTAAATGGCCTATTCTAATCAGTTTCTTCGCTCAGTTTGTCAAATTGTCGGCTGTAGCGTTCCGCAGTCACCCCCTGACTACCAATCTACCTTCATGTGCCACCAGATACACAGATATAAATGCCATCTTCAAGTGAATACCCTGCTTCGGCGTCGATTTACCGGTTTACCCGGGATACACTCACAACTTTCTTCTTTTACGGTTCTCGTAAAAAAAATATTTCTTATCACGCGTCACGATTTTCCACCATAAGTCCTTTTTTGCGTGGGTAAATTAGTGAAAGGCGTGTGTTCATACGGTTGTGTTCAGTCAACACAGATATGGGACCCAACTTCCAAGTTTTTTAAATTTTTTCCAAATTAACGGTCGCAAACGTGTGGAAATAGCCGTTAGAGTGACTCGTAACTGCTCAGCAACGTCTCGCTGTGTTTGCGTTGAGTCTTCCGCCAGTAGAGCTTGCAATTCCGCATCTTCACACTCTCGGGGCTGCTGTCCGATGCACGGCTGATCCACAAAATTGGAATCACCACGTCTAAAATGCTTGTACCACTTTTTCCTTGCTGGAATTCTCATAAAATGCAGTGCGATCGAATGTGGTGTTCATCAGTTACCATCGTAAACTCTGGTATTCTGAGAGGCTATTTAACTCACACAGACTTGTCGTTCAGTCTTCAGATACCTTTCAAAGCCACAAAAGACCGTAAAATACTCTTCTTTTAATTTGAATTTGAAGTTTTATCTTTTGCATGCAAAAATTAAGTCATGTTAAGGACTAATCAAAGTCAACGGATTTAAAATGACCGCAAAACTTAGTTCTGTAAGCGTTGTCGAAAAGCACCGAAACGGCGCTTTACTGATTGTCCAATTGGCTGTTCGTTCCCTTTCCAAGGACATTGCGTCCTTGTGGTGTGTGCTTTTGAACCATGAGGAGTTGCAAATCCTCACCAAACTCACCGAAATCTCTTTAGCCAAGCCCCTACTGAAAGTCTTGAAAGAAAGAAATGGAATTTATGCAGTCTTTTTCCACTTCAGGTTCGATGTGAGCTGCAGCAAATCGCCAGCCTGGTAGAGGCGATTGCCGTCGACGTGTTGACCCTCGTCTCCCTGAAGGACAACACCCCAGAGAAGGAGATTTGCCGTGGCATCCTCAATGCCCCACTCCGCATATGCGGAGACCTCTCGCTCATCGATTTGTGCGCTCAGGCCAAATGCACTAACCTCCTGAGCCTTCCCATCTGTCAGCGAGTGTTGGACGAGCGCTGGCGTGGGGTGCTCACGCACCTACCCAACTGGATCGGCTTCGTGTCGCGCTTCTTCCCCTTCGTCGCCATCAGCTTCCTCGAGCACCGCGCGCGAAAGGAGCGCGCTAAAGCCCTAGCCGACTTCATAGCTGAGGCCGCTAGCCACGCGGGCGGAACGAAGGATCCAGTTGTTGAGCAAAACATCTTCTCGCCTTTCTCGAAGGAGTTGGAGGACTGGAAAAGCGGCTCCGCCAACTCCCCGCAGAAACGACGCCGCGGGCTAGACATCAGTGGCCTGAGGATCAAGGAACGCTCCTCGTCCGTCCTTCCACCAAACCGATGCTCCAAGGCCTCGGGGCCGATTCCCTTCACGATCTACGACAGGCTCTCGCGGCAGTACGGGTGGCGGGGATCACCCCGGCTGTCCTTTTTGCGGGCCATTTACGCCTCCCCCGAAGTCAAGTTCTTCTTCCATTCCATATTCCACGTGGTGTTCCTAGTGACCTTCACGTTGGTCCTCGTGAACTCGCTGCACTTCCAAATCCACCTGACGGAGTGCTGTGCAATTGCCTATGTCATCGGCTACGCGGTCGAGGAAATACGACAAATAATCATTGAATGCCTTCGAGGCCAGTTCAGCAATTACCTGAAGGACAGTTGGAACACTCTGGAGCTCTTCGCAATCGGCTTCACCCTCGTCGGATTCTGGACCCGGGTGGGCAAGATCAAACAGTGGGCCCCACCTGAAACCGAGGCCTACGATGTGACCTTCTACATCGCGCGCGTCTGCTACCTCTTCGGTCTCCATCTATTCTGCATGCGGACGCTCTTCATCACCTCGATTTCACCCATCATCGGTCCGCGGTTGAAAATGATGGCGGATATGCTGAGGAAAGACCTAGTGCCGCTCATCATTGTGTTTGCCATTTTTATTTTCTCCTATGGGGTCTCGTTCCAGGGCCTGATGTACCCAAATTCCTACATGCGACAGGAATTCCCGAATGGAACTCTTATCTACGAAAAGATGCCCTTCCTTCAGGCACTGGAAAGACTCATATCGCGTGCCTTCTATTCGATATTCGAGGTGAGCGTTGCTCTAGAGGAGGCAGAATGCAGCCCGGACGAGAAATGTGGCAATCAGTTTGGCAACAAGTTGGTCATCCTCTTCGTACTGATCGCCTACACCATCATCGTGAACCTCATCTTAATAAACCTCCTCATCGCTCTGTTCAGTAACACAGTCTCGCGAATAGGCATGCAGTCCACCGCTCATTGGTTGGCCGACCGCTACCAGATGGTGAAGGAGTACCAGGACAAGTCGACACTGCCACCGCCTCTGAACCTCTTTTCGATTCTAATCGAGTTGATGTGCTGCCTTGCTAGGCTCTGCCACTGCTGCCGTCGTGGTGGCAGGCGGAATTACCGGAATTCCTCCGACAGTCGAGGCACCGAGTGTCTAGACGACGTGGAGAGTCAGCACAATGCCAGCAACAACATCTCGGCGGGGGTGGATAGGGAGGAGTTCGAGATTTACCGGAAGGTGGCTAAGCGAAAGTGGAATAAGAAGTTGAGGAATTCCCGCCGTGTGCAGCACCTCACCCACAACCTCCGAACAGCGCCTTGGGGCTATAGAACCGAGACAGAGGCGGTGCTCCAGTTCATCCTGGTGCAGAGTTTCGCTCTGAAGGGCCGACGCTACACTCTGGGGATCACAAACACGAGTCTGGTGTCTGGAGCTACCAACATAGCTATCGCCACCGGCACCATCGAGCACAGGCTTCAGGCATTGGAGAAGCGACTGGATGAGTGGTTACCAAGGCTGATGGATGAGTTGAAGGCTCTGCGGGAGGCACAGCGGTACCCCTTGAGTCCCCCCGACTACCAGCAGTCGCAGATAATGGACACTGGCGAGAGCTCGGAGCGAGTGCAGCTAAATCCGGACAGCCTGCAACCCTCGATACTGGTAGACGGCTCCTCACGAAACCCAGGCACTCCCCTTAGAGTAACTCCTACTTATGACCTCATGTACAGACGACCCGTGTCGAACCTATGAAACCTCTTACGCCTTGTGATGTGATTTTATTCTGACCATCAGCCCAAATGACCGAAATACGCCCCTGATTCACTTATATTTTTCCCTCTGTTTCTGCTTAAATATCAAGCGTACTTCGAGTCCACGTGTTTTTTTACAGAAGGGTGTGGTTAGTCACAGATTCGGCCACGCTGAATGCAGCTGCTTACTTGGCCGACGTTTTGGTACCAGAGTACCTCGAAGTCACCAGTTGTGGAAGAACACACCCTTGAAGGCTGAGAAGACGAGGAGACGACAGTCGTTGGAACAGATTGTTCAACTCAGCTGTGTGTGTACACACGGAACACACGCTCAGACGTGTTCGTACCAGCTCTAGGGATTCAGAGGAAGGGTCGACTTACCGCGGGGTCTGGAAAGAGGTTCTGGGTGGGAATCAAAACGAGCACAGTGCTATGCCGGCTTCACATTCCTGTATTGTTCGGAGGCTTGTCACAGGGGTAGTGTCGTCTCTCCAAACGCCTACTTTGTTTAAATTTCAACCCAAAGGGCCCATGTGGCTGTGTTGGCGAATGTCAGCAACCTCTGTGGCGAGGAATGGTTAGGACAACCAGCTTGTTAAATTGTCAACCCCGCGCCAACCTGCTCCTTCTTAAACACTGCCCATCATCATTTCACAGGCCGCAGAATGAGCTAGTCTGTGTGAAATTTTGGCCTGCTTTTTGACCCTGGGACCGGTGTAAACAAAAGTCAAGTTGGCATTTTTCACGGGAATAGCAAATGCGCGCTGCGTAAACAACCCTAATGACCGATTCCTTCGTGTTTGTGAAAAAAAGGGAGGAAATTCTGCGAGTAAAAGGTCTACATCGGTGTCTGATGATGCAGACAGCGGAATTTGAAAGACTGTGGGCCAACTTACTCAGCTGGCATTGGCAACGGCAAGGGCTGTTTTAGACAGACGTAATTAGAGTCATTCGTATGCTAATTTTGCGTGTTCCAACCTCAGTTTAACCACTCCAACTGCTGTTTCGGCAGTTTATAATTAAAGTGGTCCGTTGAAGAAGCGATGGGCCGGCGAACTAGGTCTGTGAGGCTGTCGTTCTGTACGATCAGTAATAATTATTTCATTATTGTGACCGGAATTGAAGACCCCACTTTAATCTGACGCTTATTGGCCGACCCCCACAAACACTGATTGGTTGATTCGGTTACCGCTGTCGGAAAGCCTGTCTGAGTGGAACACCGGAAAACCCGATAAAAATCGACCAGGCCAGATTTTCAGGGCACCGTAAGCACGATCACAGCCGTCGTTTAGTTGTAGATGCATCTTTCGAAGACATTTAAAGCGACACAGCGGTGAATCATCGGTAGATGGCCTGTAGATATTTGTGGTGTCTGGAAGAGGTGCCACAGCTTGCTGGTACACCCCCAGATCCAGTAGTTGACTAGTTACATGACGCTGTCCCCCACTTGGAGTGACCATCGATGCAAAAGATCCACAAGAGGAAGCGTGAAAGGGATTGAAGTTAGAAAGAGGAGCCCACCGTGATTTGAACGTGTAAAACGCTACACCCAGCTTGTCTCTGAAGCAGCAGAACCTCACTGAAAAGGTTCCACAGCTTGCTGATAGACCCGCAAACCCAGTAGTTGACTGATTCCATCACTAACGCCGGGTTTTTCACTTCGAAATGGCATCCATCAGTGGGAAAAGAAATCTGTTTGGAACACGGTAAAACGCCAATCCAATTAAACGAGGTCAGAGTTACAGTTAGCCCTAAGTACAATTGTGGATGAAGGTCCGGTAGAGTTAATTGGATATCGGTTCTTGGATCTCCACAATTAAACACGAAGTACGACTCAAGAACCCTCATTCACGGTGACCTGTTTCAACAACAGGGTTCGAACTGTTGGGAAAAAAACCGAGGATTTCCACAGCATTTGCTCCAGGGGCACTTGGCTGAACACATCATGTGTATTTCATAATTACATAAAGACGGCCTCGTACTAGTCATGCTGGTTAATCGATGTTACTTCAATGGAATTTAATCGTCGCAACATTACAAATGTCTACAGGAGTGGAATCCATACCTGTTAGCAACCTACCGCCAATATTTAAGGTTTGTGTATTCCGACGGAGAAGCGATACCTTTCTATCAAATTCACTAGGAATGGATATTAGTGGAATTAAAATGTGTTTATATAATGCGAGATTGATTGCCAATTGATTATGATTGATTTCTGCAAATTAGTTTAAACGCACGTGTCCATCTCAAGGTCAATAAATACTTCAACCGTTGCGTACAAAACTTCGTGCCTTGAATGTGGTTAACGTGGTCTTTTGATGCAAATATTGTTTTGTAAAGTCAGATTCCAAAAACACTTTGTTCTCATGTGACGATACTACTGAACACCCTTGAGTAGCGTTTCATATCTCATCAGCGCAAGCAGTAACAACGTTGGCCTCCAACTCCCAATTGTAGTTTGCTGTTCACTTAGACGAAAAGTAGGTATTACCTGGCATGACGGTACAGTATTTCTAACTGTCCAGCTATGGAGACATAACATACTTCCAAAACGGACATAAACGTTGCCCTAGTAACAACTAAACTGTTATTGATTGTGAAAAAGGGAAATTCAAACAACCATCCCACATCCAGATGCCTTCAAGAATGCATCGAACGCACGGGACAAAGCGCTAGTTTTACCCTAATACTTTCAGGTAAGGAACTCACACACGGGCAAGGTTGCTATACGGGTGTATTTACAAATTCCTTAACGACTTGTACGCCTCCCAAGTGAGCCCACGGGCAAGAATATCGTCAGCGGAGAGGGCAACGGACTGGCGTTTCGAACGGATGTCAACCTCGTCAGCGCGTCCGCGAGGAGGCATGACTACGGCGAGGTAGGCAAGGTTATTTCCTGAATGTCCAATGGGAGCAAGGGGGATGCGATTGGTAGAGTTGAGGGCTAGACGGGAGTTGGACTCGTAGAGACGACCAGGAAGGCCGCTCACAAGGGGGTGACGCTCGCCTTGGTCGCAGACCGCATACCCAATACACTGACTGGGGTGCTGGAGGTGGTGACTACCCCTCTTTCGTCGACCGCTTATTTTGGTGTCCAGCAAGTTGAACGATTGCGAAAGCTAAAAGTAGACAAGCATAACGGAGCCATCGATAACACTAGAGTTTAAACGTTTTGATGCTTTTACCACTCTTTACTACACTGCACCAAATAAGGTGTTTTAGTTTAATGTGTAACCAGAAAGATACCTGAAAGTCAACACCAAGAACCTGGTGTTCGCGCGAAAACGGAACGCTAGCGTCAGCCTCTGTGGACTTGCTTGACTTGGCCGAGGAACAACCACGGAAGAGATGATGGCCAGGTGCTAGTCCGATTACGCAGACACGATTCGAGTGCTGCATTACACAGAGATCATTGCCTTCCTCATCACCAACGTCCGGAAAGTAACAGGTGGTGAAATATCGATCTGCGAGGCAAGTTTTGTGTGACTCCGTGAGAAAACTTTGTCTGCTATGGACGCTGTTAACTGTCGTTTGTTCAACAAGAGGCATGAACCAGCTGCAGTCTCCGAATTCAACTTTTGCCATCTACAAAAGAGAAGCGCTAAACAACCGCACGGACAAAATGAACAATCACCACCATATCCGAACAAATTAATCGACCATAGCGAACACTAGACCAGCACTATGTTTAATAACAGCACATCATGCAACGGATAAATTGCATGTCAAGAGGTAAACATACGACTCCTTAGACAAAATTCCACAGCAATCCAGCAACTTAAAAGGACATCGCGAACATTAAGAACCGGAATGGTTAGAAGGTAAATGTTAGGACAAAAAACGCCCAATTCTTACCCGCGATAATGACTCTCTAGAGCCGACAACAGAAGCAAAACGCGGTTACAAAAAATTATAGCGAGTAACGTAAGTGAATAACATCCGCAGTTGAGATCACTTAAAAATAAGAACGCCGAGAACATTCACCAAGGAATTTGCACAAGACACTGTATACTGTAGTTACGCTGGGCAAGCATTCATTGATGACGTTGTTGCATTCCTAATTGACATGAAAAGTGGCTCGAAAATACCAAAACAAACACGATTATACTACTTATACTAGCTTGACACGTACAATGAAGACGTTTTAGAGTACAATTTAGTGAGGGGCAACTATAGTATTGTGGTGTGGTGTGGTGTGGCGTCGGATCAGGGCGCAGACATGTTGTACCACCTGGCATCAGCCAATCCTGTGTCTCTCTGCAATCCAATGGCATGCGGGAAAGGAAGGCAGCCAACCAGAGAAGGACATGGATGAGATGCAGTATATAATGAACGGCGTGGCCAGCGTGGTGGACTCGGATGGAATGCGCCTGACGCGTGGCTCTGGCTCCTGATTGGTCAATAAAGCCTGTT